CGACTCAAACAACTACAAAGTTGTATGCCTCGAGCGAAATCTCGGCAAGGCTACAGAGCACACGACTACAAAAATCAACTTCAAAAGTTGTCTCAAGCCTAACCCGTCAAAGCTAAAATGCCTACGACTACAAAGTCACTTTAAATAGATAAGCAAATGGGACGTCGATAAATCTACAACTATGAAGTTGTAAGAGTCGATGAAAGCGTGAACACAACGTTGCGGGAACGTGATAACTTAGGCAAAGATACAATGAAAGATAACATTTAAAATAGATTCATTACAACAATCGTCTCAATCTTTACAATTTGAAAAATCAGATTGAGACCAGAACAGACAATAAGAATAAACGACAAATAAAAGGCAATAAGCCTCGAAAGTATAACTAAGATATAATATCTTCGTCGCTCCCCTCGGGGATGGCCACGACCTGATCTTCATGACTGGGCCCGTCAGGATGGATGGGGGAAGGCAGGGGAGCATCCAACTGATAAGTGAGCCTAGCCTCTCGGATAGCGTTCGCCTCGAGATCAGTCCACCAGGGGTAGTTGTCCGGAAGGGACGGATCGCCTTCATAACCATCGAGGTCGGGAAGCGCACGCCTCATTGTCTCCCGATCGAGTTTCCCAGCAAACTCAGATCCCGCCACCACAGCCTCCCATGCGTCGAAAGCATGATCGAAATATTGAACGGCGGCAGGGCAGAGCTTGTCGAGGAACTCAGGAGAATTGCAGAATGCCTTGACGACTTCCTTACGATAGACATTGACAAAGGCAACGCCTATACCAGTCCTTAAGAACGACTTTCGGCCCTGAACGATGCCGATGTCCACCTCATACATGTTCGCCTCCTGAGCCTTCTCAAGGTCGGCCTGGAGCTTCTCGTTGTCGTGCAGGGTAACGGCTTTGTCGGCTTTCAACTTGTCGACCAAGGCTTTGGACCCCTCCAGCTCTTTCTTCAGCTGGGCAATCTCTCTAAGTTGCACCTCGCATTTGTCCTCGAGGGCCTTAGTAGAGGATGAGGGGGCTTTAGTACCCGCTTTGAGGCCAGGGAGAGCGGCCGCCAAGAACTACACAGAGAAACAAATAATGAAAAAATGCAGAAATACGCAAAACATAAACGCTTAACTAAGAGCAAAACACATACCCAAGTAAGACATTGGGTAGCGTAACAAGAGCGTTCGTACTCGTTCCCCTCGACACGAGCCTTATCGGCCTCGGGGAGCATAGAGTGGAGGTATTCCGCCACCCTATGCGGCTCTGGATGATTCCAAAGATGAGACGGCATCTTGACCATCACGTCCTTGTAAGTAACGGACGATTCCGT